GGAAAGGAGAAATTGTCCCCTCAGCAAAGCAGGAGAACTGTTATAAAATCATATTGTGGATCAACAGAAATTTCAGCGATCAACATACTTCCACCGAAACAGGCAAGGAACAAGGGCAGCGGCAAGCGCATCAAAAGCAGCAAGGAGTTGGCAATGGAAAAACAAGAGGGCAGGAAGTGCAATTTTTGTGGTGTTAGAGGAGATCACCATGACACCAGGACTTGCCCACTTAACCCCAAAAATAAGGACAAGCAAAAGGGTAAGAAAAAGGCATAGTAGACTATTTTTTCAACTCCTTTACAGTCGAGAACGAAAATGGATAGCAAATATGAAACACAACTACTTAGTTAACTCATTTTAGAAGGCTTTTTACAGTTGAGATACTTGTTTTTGTTTTTATCACTGATTTGTTTTTACACAATCACTGCTACTAGCTTAATGTGCGTGTTATTACTACTTTACCTACGTGCAGTTAATTCTTAATATGTGTTGATTACACTTTTAACGTGCGTTACATTAAACCTTAATGTGCGTAGTACAGAAACAGAATGTGCGTTGGTTTATGTATAAAAACTTTGGTCCGTGGTAAACGTCTTTACATGCAGCGATTAACATTCAACTTGCGCGACATTAAAGCTTAATATGCGTACAAAGACAACATTTAACACTTTCTTTCTCTAATATGCGTTTAATTATTAGTTAATATACGACGCGTTAAAGATAATTCTAATATGCGCGACTAGAAAACTTAAAGTGCGTTTATTTGATTATGAAATAATTTGCAGACAAAATGATACAAGAACAACATGCGTGTAAATATAAATATACTTAATTTGCATCGAAATAAATGATTTTTTAAAGCCAAAAGTTTAATGTGTGTCGTGAAACCAATTAAAGTGCGCGAAATATCAATCTAATATGCGATTATTATATATTATTAATAAATCCAAAAGTTTAATGTGCCTCGGGAAACCAATTAAGGTGCGCGAAATGTAATTATAAGATGCGTTTATTATATTTTATTAATAAATACAAAAGTTTAATGTGCGTCGCGAAACCAATTAAAGTGCGCGGAATATCATTATATCTAAGATGCGTTTATTATATTTTATTTAAAAAAAAGAAGCAAGTAGAATATGCGTTAATGATAACATAATAGACATAAAAGGATAATATATAAATTTTATTAATTAATAAATTGTATGACGAAAATAACAACAAGTAGTCACATAATACGCATAAAAATCTTGATATTTTCGTCAATATTCATCCTTATCACGCAGCCTCCTCATTGATTACATCCTCATTAGCCAAGTTTCCAACAGGAGCGTCAGGCACCTGTTCATCCATCAAATCGTGAAAGTTACTAAACTGTAAATACATCAATAAAATTATATAATAAAAAAAAAGAGGGAAAAAGAATGTAAGTATGCAGTAGATCACCTCTTGATCGAAATCATAATCTTCTCGATCATACGCATATGTTGGGAACTCAGCATCGTCTTTCAGTAATACTGCACCAGTTCTCTCACAGAACATCAGCATATACCAGAGACTAGAGGTCTTGTTTCTGTAGGTACTATAGGCCACCTCAAATCTAATGAGTAGATAAGCTTTTCCTTCCACAAATCTGTTGACGCGCCTTTGCGCAAACGGTTGTGGAATATGCATATGAATAAACGTCCCCTGAAATTATTTAAAAACAAAAAAAAAAAAAACACAAAAAACATATGCATCAACAGTATATTTTATAAATATAAAATATTACTCCGTATGATTTATATTACACTAAACAAAAATAATACCTCTACATCGTGAAGTACACACTCTATAGATCGGATTCTATCAGAACCTTTAGTTTCTGGCAAACGAACAACTCGTAGCACTCGAACCCTAATTAAATTCCAGCGCAGTCCTATGCGGAGTTGGTTTCCAACTATTTCGGTGTGGGGTTCGGCTGCCATTGAAACTCTCTTTACAAGGTAGAGTATAAAAGCAAAAATGTGTTTGAAGGAGACAGGTTTGGTCGAGAATAATGGTGGATTTAAATAGCAAACTCTTAAACGAATGCGACTGTTCGTATGTGACAACTTTAAGTCTAGCAGAACGCGACTATTGATATGAAAATGTTCGATCGAGTATAATTGAACGAAAATGCGTCAATTTATTCACTAATATGCGCACCTTAAACACGTTATTATGCGTATTATTGCTACTTTACCTGCGTAAAGTTAATTCTTAATATGCGTTTATTACACTTTTAAAATGCGCTACATTAAGCCTTAATATGCGTAATACAGAAACAGAATGTGCGTTGGTTTATGTATATAAATTTTGGTCCGTGGTAAATGCCAACGTCTTTAAATGCGTCGATTAACATTTAACTTTCGCGACTTTAAAGGTTAATATTATGCGTACAAATGCAATATTTAACACTTTCTTTGCCTAATATACGTTTAATTATTAGTTAATATAATGTGCGTTAAAGATAAGTATAATATGTGCGACTGCAAAGCTTAAAGTGCGTTCGTTGAATTATGAAATAATTTGCAGACAAAATGATACATACATAAACGATTGCACATATTTATTTCTTCTAGTACTTTCAAGACATTTCTTCTGGTTCCGGCAGCATCCGACACATCACCAGCCACCCACAATTGCTCAACTCTCAGCCTTCGGATGTTGTTTGGAAACTAGACGATGAGCTTGAAGAAGAGAATGACGAATGATGCTTCAGGTTTAGAATGTGTTGTTTTTGTATTTAGTTAAAGTCACTGCAAGCTGGAGGGCAATGAAGATGAAAATGCCAGAGAAGATGAATAATAAATGAAGAGGATTCTTCTCTACTTGCGGAAAAGTGAGAGATAGCCATTTCAATAACCTGATGCTCAGTTGTGTGTTGTTCGTTGTAATAATTTATATATATAGGTGAATAACTTGGTCACATGCACTGATTTGAGATTTCAATGTTTCAAGATTTGCTTTAATGGGTGCGTTTTTTAAGGCATTGAATGACCATTCAATGTTATCCGTTTCCCCCACCAACTACAAATGCCTTAAAGTTCTGACATCAAATATCTTTGAATGTTACGTGGATTGGTATAAAAGACTTAATATGCGTTGCTTTGATCTGTTACATGCGCGACCTACAAGAACAACATGCGTGTGAATATAAATTTAATCAATTTGCATCGAAAATAAATGATTTTTTAGAGCCAAAAGTTTAATGTGCGTCGGGAAACCAATTAATGTGCGGGAAATATCAGTCTAATATGCGTGTATTACATTTTATTAAACAAAAAACAAGTACGGAGTAAAATATAATAAAAACTTCAAGTCTTTACGGGGGATCGATCCTGGGCGGAATCATTTTAATCAAAGACTTCTACCATTTCGTCCGTTACTTTGATTATAATATATTATTATTAACAACAACAGAGGCAGACGTGAGAGCTTGTTTTTAATATGCGTAAGGCGTAGACATAATGTGCGTTGGTTTTTGTATAAAATCTTTGGTCCGTCGTAAACACCAAAGTCTTTAGAGGCGTTGATTACCGGCCAAAAATATTTTAAGTCTTTGGGGGGGGGGGGGGGGGATTAGATCTTGGGCGGATTTGATATATTCAAAGACCTTTACCATTTCGCCAGTCAACTCATCCATTTATTCCTTGTATACCAAAATATATGTTGCCTACTAACTAATAACGAATCTAAAAGGAAGCAATATGCCTCTATTTAATTCTTAATATGCATTGGTTTACACTTTAAAGGTGCACTACACTGCGTCTTATATATGCGTAACACGTAAACGTAATGTGCGTTGGTCAATGTATAAAAACGTAATTATTCAGACATTGCGTTGAAAATTAGTCCATAATGCGCGATTGCAAAATTTAAAGTGCGTTTGTTTGATTGTGAAATAATTTGCATTTAAAATGACAAATACATGCTTTGAATTTAACATGCACGACATATCAATTTAAAATGCGTGACATTGGAATACAATGAGCGAATAATTTACAGTCTAGTACATTAGTATTTGTAAACGTAAATACACATTGAAACAACACCAATAACATTCAGTGCATCTTTTCTTGTGCTTTGAAGGCATTTCTTCTAGTTCAGGCATCATCCGACATGCTGCCAGCCTCCCACAAGCCTTGACAACCTCGATTTGGACATGAGCAAGGAGTGTGGATGCATGTAGGCTCGTGGTCTCTAAGCTTGCTGTGTATGATAGATTCCTGGCAGCCGTAGGTGTTATTTGGGATGTCGGATGTCCTCAACTCTCTCAGCCTTGAATGATGTTTGGTTGCAGCATGAGGAGCTTGCAGCTGAGGATGATGAGTTTTCTCTCAAGTTTAGAATGTGTTGTCTTTGTATTTCTTTACAATCACTACAATCTGGAGGGCGAGGGGGGTGAAGAGGGCATGCAAGATGAGGAATAAAAGATTAAAAGGAGATGGTTCTTCTGAACGTGCAGAGACGTGAGAAGTGGCCATTTCAATGAAAACTGATACTCGGTTGTGTGTTGTTCTTTCCAATTTATAGGCGAATAACTTGGTCCAATGAACTGATTTGAAGATTTCAATGTTGCGTTAATGGGGGCGTTTTTTAAGGCATTGAATAACCCTTCAATGTTATCCGTCTCCCCAACTACCAATGCCTTAAAGTTCTGACATCAAATATCTTCGAATATTAAGTGGATTGTTATAAAACACTTAATGTGCTTTGCTTTGCTCTGTTACATGCGCTGAGGAAAAGAACAATATGCGTTCAAATATACGTTAATTAACTTTTATCGAAAAAACGATATTTTTTGAACCCAAAAGTTTAGAGTGCATGGGGAAACCAATTTAAGAGCGCGAAATATCACTTTAACATGCGTTTATTGTATTTTGTTAAACCAAAAACAAATAAAATATAATAAAAAAATCAAGCTTTTAGGGGGTCTGATCCTGGGCGGAATCGGTTTGATCAAAGAATTCTACCATTTC